GTACATGTGGAAATGAAAACTGGCAAGTAAAAATGCTTTTCTCTTTGTATGTTTAATTGTTCAAGTAAGGATGACTTATTAATCTGTCGCGCGCTCTGTGTTCGCTGGTCGTGCACGGTAAAATAAAAACGCCTGGTGACGCGTAGATTAGAAAACAAGTCAGTTCTCAATGTGAAAAAAAAAGCTGTATAAGCTATTTATGATGACGTAGGTAGTACATTATGTTGTCAGTGTAATTGACAGGCTGCTTAACTGGTTAACTCTTAAATTCAACATATTTTTTCAGGCAGTGAGAGGACAGGCAATGATGCAGAGAGCACAGGGAGAGGAGAAACACCAGGTCTAATAGAGAGAGATGCACAGAGGAGCCATGAACCCCAGAACATGGCTCCTCTGTGCAAGGCAGGACCTGACGTGGAGGACAAGGAGGCCCTCTGGGCACTACTGTAAAAAGGAGACTGTATGTAGATAGTTCTTAATCTGCAATTGTGTTGTTGTGTTGTGTTGACATACTTTTCTTTACTGTTTTCTTAAACAGTAAAGAAAAGTTTAATAAACTACAAACTACCAACACATGTATTCATTGTCATTGATTGTATATGACTTTTACTATTAACATAATGCAATATAGCCAGGACAGCCTTACAGAGTCGCGACGCCTTGTGTTGCGTTTCTTCGCATCGCATCGAGGTCTGTATGATCACAAAATTCAGAGTTTACCCACCTCTAATTTTACCACTACAGCACTGCATACATATCCTTAATTTTCTATAAACTGACTGAAAAGGGACGGATGACTAATAAATAAATAAATACAATCAACAAAAAAAATGCGATGAAACATAAAGAAAACATATATTGTTAGATCAAATACGGTAGAGATGAAACAAACAAAATGGACAGGTGTCCTGTAGTAATACTGTTCATGAGTTAGTTGTGTATGCTTTAAAGACCTGTAACATTATGACCTTTGACCTGTGCAGCGGCTGTAGATCCACTGCTCCAGTCATCACGTCCGGATAGTGTTACTATAGCTACATGGAGGAGGAGAGGCCTTAAAGACAGAAACAGGAGAAAATGTATTCATGTAGTTATAAATATAAATAGCACATGCAAGTAGTAAGACCACCAGGGGATTGTTTTGTTGTGGTCAGAGATATATTTTTTAAAAGATCTAATAACAATTGTTACCGTTACAGCTGGTTTAGGGAGGAGCTTGAAGCTGCATAAAGGTGGGGCTGTTTCTGGGACAGTAATGACTGCCTGATGACTCTTCCTTGCAGTCACACACCTGATCCTGACAAAATAAAACAGGAAGTTATCGTTAGAAACTAAACTTTCTAAAAAGGTTTATAATTCACAGTAATGAAATAATGTTAGAGGACATGACACAGTAGACAGGGTGGTGATAACTGTAATAAGTTCTCATCACACCAGAGTGGAGACAGCGTTGTGGTTGAGAGATAAAATGACGTCCAGCAGTGTGTTCTTGTCAGTGGTTGCATTAGTGATGACTTGTGCAAATCCTCTAGACTGGAAGAGCTCAAGGATTGGCTTACCAGTGTTGGAGAAGAGATTCTCGTTGAAATCACCAAAGACAATGATGGGCTCACAGTCCATGATCTCCAATGAGTCCAGCAGGCTCCCCAGGTTGGACAGGAATTATCTCACACTGTAGTCTGGAGGTCTGTACACAGCTGCAATCAGGGCTCTCACTGGGGCTTCTACCTTCAGAGCCACAAACTCAAGATCGGTCACATTATGTACGTACTGTTTCTCACGCACCTGAATGTGGCTTTTCACATAAACAGCAACTCCACCACCACCTCTGTTGGCTGTTTGTGGAACATTTGTGTAGGACAGGTGTCTGTTGCGTTTGAACATGTTGTAGCCCTCTAAATGGAGACTCTCTGCAACAAAGGAGCCTTGAAGGTGAGTTTCTGTAAGACACAAAACATCTGCAAGACACAGTTCATGATGGCTCCTGATGTCATTGATGTGGGATGGTAAACCATCAGTGTTATGGTGAACAATGGTCAGAGTGTCACGTCTGCTCGATGTCTGTGTGATACGAAGAAGAGGCATCATGTCGTCCAAGGTGACTTGTCTCATGGTCTCGAGGGCTCCAGTGATTTCTGGGTTGGCATAGATTTTACTCTCATCCAGATCCAGCATGTGCAGTCCACTGAGAGAGGTCACTCTACTGATAGCTACGTAAGCCATGCCAGGTTCAAAAATGTGTTTCAGTGACACTACAGCTGATGTTCTCGTCATACCCTGAACCTTGTTTATCGTACAGGCAAAGGCAAGTCTAACAGGAAACTGTCTGCGTACCACTCCTTTCTGTTTCAGATTGTCCTCTGCTCTCTCTATGTACACCACATCATCAGGGCCGCCCGGTGCTCTATTACAGTAATTCCTTCCAGCAGTTTGATCATCCATCTTGAGCCCGAGCATAGTGACATGTGCAACACCACTCTGTTCTGAGGTTATTACTCTAACTAGTGTAGCAAACGATCCATTCACCAATCCCTGAGACCCATCTATGTTTCTGGTGAGCATGACTTGAGCACCTTCAGCTATGTTTAGTGTGTCTGGTAACTAATTTCTGGTTCCTTTGTATGGTTGGGCTTGTCGAGCCATTCTTCCAGTTCGTGGGTCCTTCTTGTAGTCATCTGCATCGATCTTGGTGATATTAGAATGGAGCAGAGCTAATGTTACTGAGTTGTGTGAATCAACCTGTTTATTAGTTGCAAAGATGTGCAAGACATCAGGTGGACAAAGTGATGGTTCAGTGATGGTCTGTGACAACAAGGCTCTGTCTGCTTGAGACAACTCATCTGACTTTCCTTTCACACGGATCCGGTTCAACATCTCTGCAAAGGCAACATCATCCTTCTGCCGCATAATCTCAGTCAGGGTGATTGTCTGAAAGTGTCCCTGCCATAGATCAATCTCACATGGCTCGTACACACAGAGGGTCTTGGACTGTCGCACTGATGGTAGCTGATAAAAGTCTCCAACAGCTATTACTGACATTCCTCCAAAGGGTTTGGGACTACCTTTGATCTGTTTCAGTCTCGCATCCACATAAGCAGACAGGGGTTTTGACACCATGGACACTTCATCAATGATGAGGATTTCAGCATTTAAAAGTTTTGATCGGACTTCATCCAGTTGGTTACCAAGTCCTTGAAATGGAGGTTTCAGACTTCGTAGAAGCTTGAGCAGAGAGTGCAGTGTTGATCCTGATATATTGAAGGCTGCAGTTCCAGTGAAAGCTGTCAACAGGATCATGGGGTTTGATATGTCCACCTCCTCAGAATGGCTGGGCAGTTTGCACAGTATCTTAGATGCTTCTGAGTACATGCATTTAATGAGATGTGACTTTCCTGTTCCAGCACCACCATTGACGAAAAAGAAAAACTGTTCAGGATTTAGGCCACAGACACGCTTTACACACCAGTCTCTACTGCATAGAACTGTTAGGGATTTAAGCCAGAAGTGCACCCCTAGTCATAGAATTTGTAGTACGTGTAATAATGTTTAGTGATAGAATTATAGTTTGTGTGTTATTAGATATTAGTTATTACATTAACATGTTAGATGAAGTGAATACAATGTGAATCAAACACAATTCATAGTCATTTAAATCATATAAACACTGTACACATTAACATTCTGTTACAATGTGATGTTAAAACCTGGGGACGGATGCCAATTGCCGTTCTTTATGGATTTCTCCCAATTTTATCCCCAAAAAGGGTTTTTTGGGAGTTTTTTCTCCTGTCAGGTAATAAATGAACAACTTATTGCGAGGCAGCCGACTGAGGCAAATGTCTTGAGAATTGAACCACATGAACTGTTTTAGATCTTATGATGAAGTGTGATGAACGGTGATCATTAATGATGGGTTGTTGTAATGAAAGTGTACTAGTTATAAGATGAAGACTTAAACGATGTATGCTTTGTTGGGTTCACTCATTGAGGCATAAAGCCACTGTATCTGCATTGAGTGCATTGGAATGTGAGGGACAGATGGACAGAGAGGTTTCAGGTTACAGCTGCAGCTTCACACCTCGACGTGGAAGGGACAATGGAGGAGGTGACCCTTTGGAGAAGAGGCCAATGACATTCAAATGCACCAAAGAAGACACACCTCAAGAGTTTTCAAAGGACCAAAGCGGGGAAAGACTGTTAGATCTTCTCCTGCAGCCGCATTGATAAGTCCCTTCAGACTTGCTCAGAGAATTCTCTATTTCGCGAAATATTCCACTGTTCGCTTAGTATTTCACTTTGTAATTGTAATCCCTAATACGTTGTTCAGTTATTAAATAACTTTTGATTTTTGAATTTAAACGAATTGACTCATTCGTGTCCTCGTTTCCGGCCGGGACGAGAACAAAGGATTGAGTCCTCCCTCGAGAGCTTCCGAAACCTTAACAGTTGGCGCCCAACGTGGGGCTCTCGTTGGGGGAAGACGTTGCTGAGAGGTTTGACTGCAGGTACCACGGGTACAAACAAGGTAAAACAACCTTTTTCATGAATTCTGTGATAGGTAGATTTAGGAAGATTTAGAGTGGTGCTGGCAGTCGGCCATGAGGCAAGGCCTTAGATGCTAAAGACTAAAGGCTAGTACATTAATGACTTGGGTGAATATAATAAGCTGATATTGAATAACAGTGGGGACATACTTTTGCAAAGTGAATGCGAATGGGAGCCGGCTTTTAGAAATTCCAAACACGCGCGTTTGGTGCGTTCGGGTACACACTTAGAGCGTTAGAAAAATCCAGGCGGCGAACTGGTCTGCTGAGACATAAAGACTAGCAGGATAAAATCATACAAGTAGACCCGTATGGGATTGGTTAGGGGGTTCGCATGAGGTGTGACGATGCGCATGTTGTCCACTAGGTTTCCCACAATAATTACGGCGTCTTTAGAGAAGACTCTTCTCTTCATTTCCCCTCTCTGTGCATAAAGTCCTTCACAATTAGGTATTGCAGGATTTAATAGATTGGGGGGGGGGAGCTTGCTCTACGGAATTGGCTTACGGATAAGATTAAGGAAGCTTGAAGCCTTGGAGGCCTGAAGTCCTGACGATAAGAAAGGGTTAAAGGCCCGCAGTCCTGCCTTGAATTTTGAGGCCAGTAGTCCTGCTTAAAGGTAATCCAGCGGCGACTGGTGGAGGTTATAGTAAAGGAGAAATCCAGCGGCGACTGGTAAGATCTGCTTAACATTTTCCACTCTCTAGAAATCCTATGAATTAGGTATATAGGTTATCTAGAAGGGGGTGGGTGGCAGATAAGCGCTTTAGTGTAAATGATAGTGTATATACATCTGCATGAGGTGTGAGTGTGAGTGAGTGTTAGTACGTGGTGCGTGAGTGTTTGAGTTGCGGGGTGCATGTGCTTGATTGATGTATGGATGTTCCAAATTATGTTTTAATACGTGTATGTGATTGTTTAACAGTGTATATATATGTATAGAATCCGAACTGGAGACTGATCATCTCCGGCGTCGGGTTGTAAAACCGTAGCATATTAAGGTGTTGGTGAGTAGTCCAACCCGGACCACGTGGGCTGCCTTGCTAGCGGCTAACGGGGTCTCATTGGTAATTCCACTGGGGAAATAGCGGGGCTTGAGGGGTGCTGATAGCTTGACCACGTTGTGGGTTAGCAGTTAGCTTGAGCCCATTGTTCTTCGCTACGCCGGCACTCGGCGTTTTACGATCCATGACCGGAAGCGTCGAGGCATTTCCTCTTTGGTAGTTCTGTGTTCGATCTTCAGCTATCGGCTGAACAGCGCTTCATGTGGTTGGAATAAGTGCACATCGTGAGGGGGAAGCCCCTGAGTGTGCCTTCTGGTGGATGTAGAGGGAATTACAAGAGGGGGAGTTCAATTTCTTCACTTGCCGTGTTCGGACGGTGACTTTGATGCACATTTGCCTTTACTAACTAGGATAGTGTAAAGATTGATAAGACAACTTGACGGATATCTGGATTGGTGTTGACGTTTATTTGAAACATTAAAGTGCTGTAATGTCACGTTGAATTTGGTTTGTACTATAGTTCTGCATCGATTTTGGATTGGAATTGGAGGTTGATTTAATTCTGATGTGGTGCTTTTGAGAACCTGTTATGAATTGTTTGATTTCGATCCCTAATGTTTAACTGATTCCGGATTGACTGTTTTTGGATTGTCTCTGGGTTGGGGGTGGATCATTGTTTATATTGCAGGATAATCTCTTGCAGCATTTGTGGGGGAGTGCTTCTGCTCTACTTCCTGACTAATATTGCCGTCAGTTTGACTATATCATCATAACTTTGATTAATTTTGTAACTTTGATTAATAATTTGGATTAATTCATTTTTAGGCATCAAGTTTAATTTTATTAAAGTTTAATTTTTAGACTTTTGAATTCTGAATTAAGATTGAATTTTGATTTGAAATAAAGTTAATTTTCCTCTTTTTACTCTGTTCAATTGTAACCATAGTCTTCGGGCATTGACCATTGATTATACTAATTTTTACAGTTTTCGTGATTGATTTGATTTTTTGGTGAGAGGTACTGATAAGTTGATTTAACTTAGTGGTCTAACAGGATAATTTTAGTAATTACACAGCAGTTATTGGACTGATTTGATGTTGTAAATTGCCCTCCTTACTTTTTAGATTTGGTTATTTGTTTTACTGTGTCGATTCTGGTCGATAGTTCAATTTGACATTTCCTCGGACAGCTGTTAGGGGTGACTTAGTTTGGGTTTTTCTTACAGTTAGTGACAGAGTACCACCTAGGACAGAAGGGACAGCTTAGCGGTTGTTTAGAGTATTCCAGGTTGCATGATGGCTGCGCTTACGACTCAGGAACTGCTTGTCAGGGCCAGAGAGGAGGAAGCAGGTAGCTGTGAACATGGCCGTAAAACACCAAGTGAATACCAGGAGGCCGCAGAGGAGCTGTATATTACTTCAGGACTCCTGTCTATCAAAATACACGTGCAGAGGACCCATCCAAACAACGACAAAGAAGGAGAGGTTGCTGATGGAGGACGTCATCACAATAGGCATTGTATCCTGGTGAAGAAAACTCCAAACCACTATGCAGACTATATTCTCCCTATAAGAAATGAGCCACCTGCAGCCTCCCCCGTCACACAGTGTCCACTTCTGAGAAAAGCCAACGGCCAGAGAGAGTTTGTGCCCTGGGGCCATCGGGACCTGGAAGCTCTGGAGAAGGCACTGCCGCCATTGGGAGAAGGAGCTAACCCATGGATCCTGCTCTTTGAAAAATACACAATAGGTGATGAGTTGGCTCTTGGAGATATGAGGGCCTTAATAGCCCGTCTAGAGGGAACAGTCAACCTAAGAGCCTTAGAAGCAAGAGCGGGAACCACCAACCAAGAGGATGAGGCTCCATTTGATAAGGTCAGAGGAGTATTTTGGGCCACAATGCGAAACATCTGGCCTACAAAGCCAAGTATGTCCATCCTGATGGGTCTGAGTATGGAACAAGGTGAAGACATGTCTCAATATCTGAGGAGAGCAGAAACAGAATGGCATTTGGCCACAGGAGAAAGACACGACAATAACAAATCTACTGCAGTAATCTGGCGACACACTGTGCAGCAAGGCTTGCCCCAGGCTGTTCAAACAGCGTTGGAGGGAGTAGTGGGACTGGACAACATGGATGAAAGCACATGGAGAGACCATCTAACCCACTTCTACAAAATACAGAGAGCTGCGGAGACAAGGAGGCAAGAAGAACTGGGGACGATGACGCATCGACTCCTGAAGATCCAACTGGCAGCAGCAGATGCAGAAGCAACGGAAAACAGAGAGTCAGGAAACAACTGTCGGTGAGAGATGAACAACCTCAATACCCTGTTCCTCCAGAAGCCACACATCCAACCGTAGGTCCAGCAGTGAGAAACCAATTGAGAGGATACCAGCAACCACCAAAGTACAGAGGGAGAGACAGAGGCCGTGAATCTAACCGAGGGAGTGGATACTACCAAGGAGGGTATGGGGTTGATGTGTGTTTTATATGTGGGCAGGTGGGACATTGGTCAAGAACGTGTCCAGTGAAATATGAAGGGAACACACGGTCGAATGCTCCTCCAGGAAGGTTTCCCAACTCACTGCAGCCCAGGCAGAACCAGAGGTTGGGCACACCCCAGCCTCCACCTCCCCATATGTGGTGACCACAGCAACAGATGCCACTTGCTTTGATGGAGACAAAGCAGACGGGCCCTAAACAACTAACTGGTGACACACCGACCCCCGCTGCTTTCCAACAGCTCAGATAAGCACCCTCAGCGTCCACGGTTTACGACTCACATTCCAGGAAGAAGAGACTAGAGATTATGGACTGCTGAGAGTGTCAGCTGAAACTAGACTTAAACCCGTAGGGAAGATTGATTTTGAAAAGGGGAAATCAGACATTGAAATTAAGAGATAAGGTTGTGTAAGATTTAAATGAGGAATGAAGGTGATAAGGAATTAGGAGAGTTGTTGTATATATTGTCCGTATGTTGTAGTAATGTTAGTAGTTTTTTGAGTTTTCTCCTGAATTCAGAGATGGGCGGTAAATTGTTGAGTGCTGCTATTGAGTGTGTAGTGCACGATACACTTGATACAGTATCTTGATGATTGAAGCAAATGTCTGATCAAAGGAACATTTATAGCACCAGTACACGAAATATGGAAATTTGTTACAGACGGTCATCCTGTAATGTTCAACAAGTAGTACACCCTTACATTTGGATACGCTAACCATGAGAGGTTGGTGATCTATCAGAAATGAATGAATGGATTGGATCAAACTAAGCATGAGCTGAGTTTGTGTTTGCAGGTAACAGACACGTCTCCCACCCTCTGCTTTGCTTTTGGGCTGAAGAGCAATAAAAGTGGAGATTAACACTGGAGGGGGGTCTGGAACAGATGGGTCTGATGCTAAGTTGATTTATTATCTCCTGGTACTTTTTGGGATCAAGGGACTCACACTCCTTATTGTTGTTTTATGACCCTGAAGGGTTTGGAGAACCTTTGTTGATATCACCGGGGTTTGAGGTTCACATTCTGATACATTGATTGAAGTTTTAGAGACTGATACTGCAAATGCTCGACCACTTGTGAAAGTGGTAGCAAAGGTCAGCAAATTGACTGTAATGATGGAGGCCTTCAGTGAGGCCATCAAATGGTTTATTTTAATGGGGAAGTAAGCAAAAATGGGAAAAACAGGTTGAAGAGTTATGCAGTAATGCATAGGTTTTCAAAGGTGATGACACATCATGACCGAGCAAACAGGCTGAAGGTAAAAGGAGGAGAAATTGACTGTGAGGGTGAGAATGTGGGGTAACATTTTTGTGTATACTTGGAATGAGCAGATTGCTTTGAGGTTAGAATGAACAAAGAGAACTTGGTTGGTCAATTAGTTGATGAAGACATGGAACAGTCATACACCATGAGGGTGAGACCTACAAGCAAAAACTCAAAGGGATCATTGAACGGGGACACGAAGGCAATGTTGGTGTTAATTTTTCATGAGTTGACTATGGGGGTCAATAATCAGTTATGTCGAAGATTCCAAATTTCTATAAATAAATGGCTCCTCAAATCGGTTGGAAACAAGGCCGTTTGAGAAAGGCAATTTTCCAAAACAATGTGTAAATACTCTAGGAGCAGATAAAGATATGCAGAGGCATTCTTTACGTCAACGCATCACATTCTTCATTCAGCTGAGGCTCTAATCCAAAGCGACTTGCAGGAAGTGAATTTGAACAAGAGGGAACAGAACCAGAACAGCAAGAACAAAGAAGAGATTTCTCCTTCTAAGAAAGCAACATTTGTGAGTGTCATCCAGGTGCTAATTCTTCAGTTGTAGTAGTAGGTAGGTATGTGTGTTTATTATGTTCATTAGGGAACTCCTTCCACCATCAGGTGAACATCAGGAGTCAGGACAAATGATGACTTTGTTGGGAGTTTAGCTCCCAGTAAAAGAAACAATAGGCAGATGCTGAGATGGGAGTGAATTGGGGACGAGGATAGATTTCAGAGGAGATGCAGAGGTTGAAAGGTGATGGCGACTCATGGTCGAGGAGGGAGTGAGCAGACCTCCCTAAACCAACGACTGATAAGAGGAGGAATCCTGGGGAAGTGTCGGAGCCATAAAATTCATCCACAGGTTGTATGTCATCTAACAGTCATTTAAGAATCACACACGGTTGGTATGGGGGGAATTATTTCACTATGATAAATTTACTGACACATTTTTCCTCGAATACATGTGCATGGCAACTGTTAACGCTGTTTTGCTTTTCAGTAGGAACAGGCAACTCCAATGCGAGACGGTCCAGCTCTGCAACGACACCCAGTAAAAACGGCGTTGTGGGAGTTTTACGACGTTGTTGGATAAGCCAGGAGGTGGCCTGGGGTTGATTAGCATCACCAAAGGCTATGTGAAGGGATGCTTTTACACCTACCTCAACATGAGGGACTGGGGGAGAACGGAATATAACTAGAGTATCTGCCGATTTGGGAACATTATTGCATGCAGTGAAAAACACAATCATAAGATTCTAAACAACAGAGATGTGTAGATGACATTGATTTGAGGTGTTAAGAAGAACATACCGTCTTTCTATCAATGAAACAACTCACAAATTGATTAGAATGTTTTTAGGAAAACACTAGATGTTAGAGTTTAGCTACTCAAGTGGCATTTTTGGGATAACAGCAGACGATGGCCAACGCAGGAAGATTGAACATGACTTTTCTTCCTGGAACGAATGTGTAATGACATTGCTCTTCTCATACACTGACACAAGGACTGATGTGACACACAGATGATACAATTACTCCACATTAAAAGAAAACGCTAAGACTAGGAAATAAGTGGGTAAAAGGTTGAGTTCCAGTTATGTTTAAATATGCACACACTAGATGGTAGAACTTGTTTGCTTGAAGAGTTTGGTAAACCAGAAGAAAGAGCAACATGAATTGGGAGAACACACACACACACACACACACATACACTCACACGCACATCTAGACACACCTACACACACGCACACATAGCTGCACCACTTGTGCTTCTCTATTCAACAGCCGATTGGGGAATCTTGTCCTAATGGGACCTCCGGTTAGCAGAGCAGTCTGCTCACAGGAACTGAGGTGATCCGAGGTTCAAGGAGGGAGCGTGAAGCTTAATCACACGTCTAGGATGACAGCTACGTGTCATCTGACCAAACCGCTGACAACAACAGATGTTCCAGCAGAGGAACATCAAGGAGGAGAAAAGGTGTGAATATGACATCTGGATTGCCACCTACTGAGGGTGGTCATGACTGTGCAGAAGTAGCTAGGAAGGAGACGAAGGTGACGAACGCAGAGACAGCCGCCAGCCAAGGGAAGCAGGTTCCAGTCATACCGCCAGGAAGCTGGGTGTGGATTAAGGCCCATAAACGCAAGTGGAGCGATCCAAGGTGGACCGGTCCTTGGGAGGTAGTATTGGCAACATCACACTCGGTAAAGGTGAAAGGTAAAGCGGGAGCCACTTGGCATCATCTCACACATTGTGCACCTGCTAAGGCACCAAGCCAGACCCTTGCGGAGACCCGATTAAATACCAGGCAAGTTAATTCAGAGCCAAAAGACACAGGAGGGGACAAAGCAGCAGAAAATGTCTCGCCCACAGCGTAAGTATCAGTTGGTAGTAGGGAGTTCAAGTTCAGCTCGGGGAGGTGCAGCTGTTCACACAGGTGACGATGACATGACGTCTGTAAGTGATCTATCCCATCCCAGTCGACAAGATGTTTCCTTACCACCTAACATCCAAGCAGCAATTGCTCTCACGTAGACATTCAAGGAAAATATAACTGCATCTGTTCAATTTGATTATTGTGATATTGCAGCCTGCGGAGTCCAAGACCTCAGGTTTTGGAGGTCGGACCAATACTTGTGTTCCACCACCAACCAAGGTGGACCAGGAGTCAGGTTTGGTAAGCCAGTGGAGCAGTACGGCTGTGACTGCGAGGAGGCAGAATGGAAGTTCGCACACACTGGTAGATGGAAGTCATCTAAAACTGGTCCTAAACCTGGGCTGCAAACCCGTTTAACAATGCGGAAAAACCGATATCCAGATTTGGCTAAATGTGGGGGAGGGTTGTGCAATCCACTAATAATCACATTGAAAAATCCAGGATTGGGGGACAGTGGACTATACGTGTTGAAAGGAGGGACATACGATATTGAAAGCCCACAAGGGTTGTTTAAGATTGTTGTTAAACCCTCTGCTAACAAACAGGGATCCACTGCTGATCAGGTTGGAGCTGAAGCTGACACTTCTTGGGAGGGTGTGGTAAGACGGGAAACTGGATTCTCGGAGTCTAATCTATGGCTCCAATGGGTACAGTATACTGCCACAAACATGCACAGTACAGATTGTATAGTGTGTTCTCAACCTAGGCCTATGCCCACTCCTGTACGTTCCAGATTCAGACCAATAAGTCCTATATTCAAATGTATACTGGAGCTCTTTGTCCTGCAGACTCAGCCTGTCCACCATACTTGTCTAGAGTTCCAATGGGATTATCCGCCAGCTACTTTGAGCACGCCACCTCAATTTATGGTTCCAGATGGTACATTTGATTGCATAGTATCAGAGATAACGGGAGGGATAAAAGTAGGTGACATTGCAGGAGTAAACTGTACCACAGTTCAGTTTGCTAATGTCACTCGATATTCAAGTGTGTTGAATCAGACGATTTCCAGAGCCGACCTCTGGTGATGGTGTGGAACTAAGGTTATTTATCCAACGCTGCCAGCTAATTGGACGGGTACTTGTGCATTAGTGCAGCTTATCATGCCATTCTATGTCTTTCCAGTGAAGGAGACCACATTTCAAGACTTGATTTTACCACATCCTCACGTCGCCAGGAGAGCGAAGAGATCCACTAGTCCTGCGGGCTCATTTGATAGTCATGTGTACTTAGATGCCATTAGGGTGCCCAGAGGGGTGCCTGATGAGTTTAAAGCCAGGAATCAAATTACGAGCGGCATAGAATCCTTTTTCTTCTGGTGGGTGACAATCAATAAAAATGTAGACTGGATTAATTACATATACTACAACCAGCAGCGATTCATAAATTTCACCCGGGATGCCACAACAGGGCTCCACGAGCAGTTGGATAAGACTAGTTTGATGGCATGTCAAAATAGAATGGCACTGGACATGATCTTGGCAGAGAAGGGAGGAGTCTGTAGAATGTTTGGATCTGTTTGTTGTGCGATCATCTCCAACCACACAGCTCCTGGTGGCTTGGTGACCAGAGCACAAGCCCCACTGACAGCTTGAACCAGCAGCTGGCAGACAACTAAGGCGACGACAATCCTCTCACCAACGGGTTTGTCAGTATTATTGCACAACGGAAAAGTGCATTCCTGTGTGCGTTAACCCTTCTTGTGTTGCAGTCATGATCTAGTCCACTACGGATAAAGCTGCATCTCCTGCATCCTTGGATTCCTGCAGGGATTGATCGATATTGTGCTTAGTGAGACTAGTATACAGGGAAATCGGTAGCGAGTAGATGATGAGGGACAATCACTGTTGACGGATGTGACTGTATGATAATTTTTCTGTCTTTGAGAGATGCTCACAGTGAACTGTGAGCAAGGAGGGAATTGTTAGGGATTTAAGCCAGAAGTGCACCCCTAGTCATAGAATTTGTAGTACGTGTAATAATGTTTAGTGATAGAATTATAGTTTGTGTGTTATTAGATATTAGTTATTACATTAACATGTTAGATGAAGTGAATACAATGTGAATCAAACACAATTCATAGTCATTTAAATCATATAAACACTGTACACATTAACATTCTGTTACAATGTGATGTTAAAACCTGGGGACGGATGCCAATTGCCGTTCTTTATGGATTTCTCCCAATTTTATCCCCAAAAAGGGTTTTTTGGGAGTTTTTTCTCCTGTCAGGTAATAAATGAACAACTTATTGCGAGGCAGCCGACTGAGGCAAATGTCTTGAGAATTGAACCACATGAACTGTTTTAGATCTTATGATGAAGTGTGATGAACGGTGATCATTAATGATGGGTTGTTGTAATGAAAGTGTACTAGTTATAAGATGAAGACTTAAACGATGTATGCTTTGTTGGGTTCACTCATTGAGGCATAAAGCCACTGTATCTGCATTGAGTGCATTGGAATGTGAGGGACAGATGGACAGAGAGGTTTCAGGTTACAGCTGCAGCTTCACACCTCGACGTGGAAGGGACAATGGAGGAGGTGACCCTTTGGAGAAGAGGCCAATGACATTCAAATGCACCAAAGAAGACACACCTCAAGAGTTTTCAAAGGACCAAAGCGGGGAAAGACTGTTAGATCTTCTCCTGCAGCCGCATTGATAAGTCCCTTCAGACTTGCTCAGAGAATTCTCTATTTCGCGAAATATTCCACTGTTCGCTTAGTATTTCACTTTGTAATTGTAATCCCTAATACGTTGTTCAGTTATTAAATAACTTTTGATTTTTGAATTTAAACGAATTGACTCATTCGTGTCCTCGTTTCCGGCCGGGACGAGAACAAAGGATTGAGTCCTCCCTCGAGAGCTTCCGAAACCTTAACAAACACACATGCTTGTTTCTGGTTAAGGTTTTGATACATCTGTCGTAGCAGTGTGGGGTCAAAGGCCGGAGGCTCTCTGATGGCTCTGGCTTCTGTTGCAGCATTAGCTAGCTAGTGTATTCTGGAACATTTTCTTGAACATTTTCATGATCTGGCTCTCTTGCCTCGAGTTCTTCTATACATTCCAACCTTTCCACTTCAGATTCTGGAGCCAGATTGCAGCAATCATCAATCACTCCTCTGTTCTGTTCAAATTCTTCCACTGCATTCTCAATGTCTTCGCTGTTTTTCTCATATTTGTATTTGTTTCGTTTCACAATGTGTCGGACATACTCAGGATGGTCAGAACCTGGTAGTTGGACACAACAACTCTTGTAGAAGGTCTCGTACGTGTACAAATCCCATATCATTGAGGAGGGGGCAATACATCTTTTCCTTTTTTCTGCTGGCCATAGACAATTCTGTAAGTAGCTGCAAAATCCGCCAAACACATCTGCTCAAACTCTGTTGTTTCTGGTCTGGATTTGTATTTGTCAGTCAAAGACGTCATCCACACATTTACACTTTCTAATGTTGTGTTCTCCAGGTAAGACATGGGGCAACTCATTTTCAGTGCGTTGTCATCTGTCGGTACGAATATGACACCACGTGAACACTTCTTCATGTTTATTCCACATGCACGAGTCACACACTCCTGAGCACTGACCTCTCTCTTTTTAGAGTACGCCTGCATGATTTCCCTCATTTCATCACATTCATTGACGTGGTCTCTGGTGGAGTATTCAATGACTGTTTTAAGGTACTCAGAAAGTCCAGATTCCTTTTTGGTGATGTAGCTGGTGAGATACATGATGCACGAATATGCATTGAGAATATAACTGACATCAATATTGGCATCCCAAGCCTCCAGTAGATGTGCATTATATCCATTTACCCAGCAGTCTTTTGGCTCACGTTTCAGGATCACCGCACTGGATTTGTTGATGACATCGAGGCATCCTTCATACTCTTGGAGTGTTAAATTGCATTTACTGAGGAGCTTCTGCAAATTGAGTGAGGCAGTTTCAGGTTCATTCAGCAACAAGTTCAGTGGTTGGAGCTTGGACTTTGCTATTTGCAGTTGCAGTGGAGCAACGCCCTCACCAGGTCTCGATATCATTGTCTTTCTGGAAGGTGGTTTAGGAAATCCAAATCTGCAACCCGAGCTGGGGCTTCTGAAATATGTCCGTCAGTGTTTTTTGCTGTGTATTTGCACCTCTGTGACCTTCTTGTACAGTTCAGGTTGTGTGAGTTGGTCAGGTAGCTGAGCTGTGATGTATTTAGACACAAAATCCGAAACAGTCTTATCATCATCCTCCTCAAACACAGGTGCACCTTATACCCATATGAGACAGTGAATGTGTGGACTTCCTCTGTGCTGAAACTCAACTCGGTAAAAGTAGTCAACGACTTTGCCAAGAGGCTGTGCAGGAGATAAGAGCACATCTCTGAATAAGGCCTCAACACGCTTATCAAACATGCGCATTGTTGTCACAGGGTTTCTTCTAAGAATGTCACACTTTGCTGACCAGTCGAGCCCTTCAAAGTTCACCTCCTCACCTTGCTGTCTTTTTATTGCCTCAATCACTTCAGGCCAACGCATCTCAGCTGCAGAAAATGTAAAAAAGAATGTGGGAGTTCCCAACTGTCTGATCATGGCAAAAAGGTCTCGTGTGGTTTTCTCCCAGTAGGCTGGTGTTCCTCTCAGCGGCTGCATGAATCTGACTGCATCTTTGTTCCTCACTAGTTTCTCTACCTCTCGTTTGTTTTGCAGCAAACCAGACGTTATTTTTCGTCCATCTCGAGTCATTGGCTTTCCTTTCCTCAACTGTATTGTCATGCTGGATGTGGCCAAGTGTATTTCAGTCACAAACTGAGCAAAGAACAAGTAGTTTGTGTCTCTGGCAAAACAATCATCAACACAGAAAAGCCTCGCTTTGAAATAACTGCTGGGTGTTACTTTAATACGTCTCCCTTCATCCAGTGTGTTTTGACCTGTAGGGAACTGCACAGGGAAAGCCATCGCCTCAAGTTTAGGAGTTTTGAAGAAACCAACTGGACTGTTACTTTCTGCAGGGGCAACAGAGTAGATTCCTTCACTGAAACATAAGATCTCCTCTGAAACATCACACGGCTGATAACATGATTCTAGAGCAAAACCACCGTTAGGCATGTCACCTTCCTGTTCTTCATCATCTCTCTGCTCCTTTGGATGTTCACCATCACAAGACAACATGTCAACATCCTGCTCTCCATCAAGCTCAGTTTCTGTCTCACAGAGTGCACTTTTCTCACACATGTCAATTTCCTTTAAATCAGCATCATCATAGTCGTTGTCATCCATAGTGGCATCCTCATCATCATCATCATCATCTTCATCAGGAAGTGTTGGGTCACAAAGCTCAGCCTCATCTCTGATAGTGATGTCCTGATATTGTGGATGAATGCGTTTGAGTTTATGCAGCGCCTGCACTAGTTTAGACCAGGTGACAGTCTGGAACAGCTGATGTCCTCTGTAACACAATTGTCTCTTCAGCTTTACTCTCATCACTTGAGACTCACTTTTCCGTCTGGGTAACGCTTCCACTGTTTCCTGCACCTCAGACGGGACACAAACCACGTTGCCATGTATCGCTCTCTGTCGTCCTTTAGGAAGAGGAACGATCTTTGCAAACGCTATGCACTTGGCTATGAGTCTCTCCAATATGTTGAGGTCACACAGTTCAGGTGGAATGTCAGCGAGCTCCAAGTTGTTGGCTACAGCGAGTGTCGGCATGACTCCATCTTTAAGATGATTGTGGCAGGTGTGACAGATCCACTCTTCCTTTCTCTCATCAGGCACATTGCACTGCTGTTCATCTGTGCACTCGTCATCACACACATGGACGTACTTTCCTGTCAGGCATGCTGCAACCACGTCTGGATTTCATAGATAGTTTAACCTTTTACAGGGTCTCACTTGGTTTGGAAATGATGCTTTGTGACAGACGGTGCAAACATAAGTGGGACCGGACTTTATTTGTGACCTGAAAACAGATATGGCCTCTTTGATCAAACTGTTGTCACTTTCTTCTGTTGGTTTATTTATCCCTCTGTATTTCCTTTTTATTTTCATGGCACATCTCATGTTTTGCATACTCCGATATGTAGGATTGTTTTTGTATCTGTCTTTCATTCGTTGTTTCATTAGTTGTTTGTGTCTTAGCCTGAATGCCTGGTCACATTCAGCGTAACGCTGAATAATGTGAGATCTCTACCTTTCCCTAAAATCAATGCTGTTTTTGTAAAAGGCAGTGAAGTACAGTTTTTTTTCCTTTCTAAACTCAGCATTGTCTTGGTAGCGGCCCACAAAGTGCTGTTTTTGTTTCTCTCTAAATTCAGGATTATTTCTGTAATGAGAGACAAAGATCTTTTTTTTTTTCTCTCTAAAATCAGCATCTTTTCTGTACCGGGAGGAAATGTACTCTTTCCGTTTTTGCTTCAAGTCAACGTTGCCTCTTGTATTATTTATTTTCTTTTGTCTAAATTCAGGGTTGTTCTGGTATTGCCTTTTTGCGTGAGATATCTTGTCTGCTTTATATGCTTTATTTGAAGCATACTTTTCCCTTTCCTTCCTTTTCTGAATCTCTTTTCTTTGTTGAGTTTTTACTGAGATCATCAGTCTTCTCTTCATTTTTCTCCTTTCGTTTTTATCACACTTTGTCAGTTTGCATGAGATTCCCTGTAATAGAACATCAGATAGATCACTGGCAACAGTATTTTCTACTGAAGAAGAAATATTTGGTTCATTGAGAGAAGCATCATGTGATGGGAGGAAAGTGGATTGACTTGACAGTTCTGGTTCATTGGAGTTTATGACCTCTTGTTGTCTCACCGATGATGTGAAGATGATGTCACTGGACTCTGCTGTCAATATGTCGTCAGATCACTGAGAACAGGGTTTATGACTTGAGCCGTTGATTCTGATTCATTGTGAGGAGCATCATGTGACGATGTAGTGATGAAGACCTCTGGTTGTTTTACAGCTGGAGTGTGAGGAGTCGTTTCAGGTGTACTGGTCTGATCAGTGGCTGTAGGTGAGTTTGATTCATCCACAGGGACAGCTGTAGGTCTGCAGTCTGTGTTTGGGAGCCCATCGCTCAGGTTGACTGTGTTCATGTTGTAGAACTCCACAGGCTTCAACTCATAGTTACAGGAGGACTGTGTGTCCATCATTCTGTGGGACTTCATGAGCCTGTCAATCATGTCACTGAGACGTGAGAATGTCACCATGACAGCAATACCTGGTGTGCGTGAACCGGCTGGTAGGGGCAAACCTCTGGCTGTTCTGGAGTGTGGGTAAAAGAAACCGTATCTGCCCGACTTGGTTCTGAATACTGCGATACACAAGAGTCTCATCAACAGCAGAGCGTACTTCACATCTGACAACAAGCAGCTGAGTCCTGACTCCAGGTCCAGAAAGCTGTCCACAGCTCCAGGTAAAGGTTCTCCTAATGTGCCGTACCTTGAAAGCTGAGTCATGTCTGCATGGTGTGTAGCGCTGCGTGCAGGAACTTCATCAGTGAGCTCGTCGGTGGATGTGATTAGTGACTTGTTTCCTGGTCTCTCTATACATCGTGTTACCTTTATCCAAAACATGGTCCAGGTCTGCTCTGGTGATGCTTTCATTCTCATGAAGGAATGCAAGAAAGGTCAGTGAGTTACAGGTGCACTGCCGATTTCTGGATCTGTCGTATCTGATAGAAGCCTGGCTGTGGGATGCACGGACATGTTGTTCAGAAGGCTGATCTCCAGGGTCTACACGGTCTGCATTAGAAGGTCCCGCTGCACATGGTTCTTTTATGGGTTGTCCTCGCTCTATAGTTTCTGCATTAGATACCTATGGTACACATGACTCATGACATTGACCTCTTAGGTTTACCTGCTTCACATTAGAAGTCCTGCTACACATGGATCATCACTGTGCTTTGCTCTCTTTACAACATCTGCATAAGATGGTGGTGGTGCACATGAAGCATCAGGCTGACCTTCCTGCTCCACACGTTTACACTGCAGATATCTTTACATCTTCACTGCTCTCAGGATGAACACATTCTGCTCCTTTAGTAGTTGTTGCACAGGGCTTCTCTTTGGTGCCGCTGCCAGCGTAGGCTCTGAGCTTGTGACCTCTTGCTCTTCCTTGGCATTTGATGTTTCAAAACCACAAATGTTGTCGTACAAAACCAAGATATTAAATACAATATGAATACTATGTTATACTCGTTTATATTCAAAACTAGGGACAGTGGTTGTGGGAGTGTGATGGCAGATAATGCTCCAAAAGAACGTTGGGTCTGCAGACAGGAAACGTCAAATAAATCCAATTCTGACAGATGCTTGTATTTTATTTCAGTATGAAAATTTTAACAACAAAACACTTGGACACTTAAACAATGTATGCGTATATAAAAAAGATTTTAAATAAAGTAAACAATAATTTTGATAATATATCTAGTGATATTCAATTAAAGAAACCGTGCTATCCTGTTACCCTTTTTTCCAATTTTACGTTCAAACTAATTCTGACTAAAACAGACTCCGTTTATTCCAAAAGCTTTGCCCAATTTGTAGATAGTAATTGTATTCTATTGCGTGTAGATAGGAGATTAAAAGAGGATAATCTGATAGTAGATCTAGTAGAACAGGTACTTGTAACCTGAGGTTGTTGTAACGAAGTGTAACCAACGTTATGTGGTTCAGCAGAGTTTGTTCATCAAAAGATGGATCAGGTACTTCTGAGGTTGTTAAAGGGTAATAAAAAAGGGTAATAAAGGGTAACCAACGTTATGTGGTTAGATCAGGTATTAGTAACCTGAATTGTATATTGTAGACAGAGCGGTAGATTTGATAGGATAGATAGAGGTTCCAATAATGAGACAGAGTGGATAGAAGGTATAGGATAGACAGAGAGCGTTTATGATAGAGAGGAGAGATGCTGGCCAGCAGGACACCTGTAAGACACAATAAAACATGCATTAGACAGCAGGTCGAACAACAAACTGAGTAACCTCTACTGTAAGCTTAAAGATCATTGAAGGTTTCTACTTAAATGACCAGATCATAAACCCATGTAATATTATTTAAAAGTTGTTCTTAAATGCGTTTATTAATTAGGCTGGATTAGACGCCTCAGGGCCAGACCACACTCCCTGTGTTTCTCATACAAGTAGTTTGCACACAGTGTTGTTGCTACTGCCAGCACTTCTTTCTAATTGGTCTCTAATAATTACTATAATTAAACAGTATAATATATTATACATTCGTATTAACATTAAACTAACGGTTAAGAAGCTCCTTAATAAATAGAAAAAATAATCTAAAATTAAAGGCCGGTACTTTTTTCAAAGTTATTGCATTTTCCTACACTATACTGCAAATATTTCAGAATAAAATATGTGTTTTAACAAATGATGGGATGCTTTTGACAAAAAAATGTTAGCAGGCTTTTATTATTATATTAAGAGTTGAGTTAAATACTTGTTTCCTGCCTGTGAAATATCTCCAGATATAGACATTAAAACAGTAAGAGGCTAGTATTACATCAATACACTGTCACAGGATTGTTTTTACAGTCCATGTCACTTCCACAGTCACGGTCGGTCTTGGGCATCAGTGTTTCGCTTCAACTTTACTATGTGTTTTGACTCATGTCACTGCTTATGGAACTTACTGTCAGATCACCAAGGAGTCACCAAGACGTCCAAAGTGGAGTAGACAGGGAACACTAGGCCACTTCTGAGTGGGAAGAGAGAAATAAATTATGTTTAATTTCTTCTCTGAAACCCATGAGTCACATTTTATTTGACTGTAGAACACATTGTTGTCGTGATTGGGTCATTTATTGTTGAGGATGCAAGACAAAGATGTAATTCTTGTAGAGACAAAATATTGTGGTGGAAGGTGGTCTAAACTGTAAACCAATGTAACGTCAGTTGAGCTATAGCAAAATCATAATGAATCAGTAATTAATCAACTCACAGCTCAGAGTCAGCAATAATTCACCAGCAGTGAGGGTCTGCAGTTAAACACAGAAAGGAGGAGTCCAGGAAGAGTCCAAGGAGGGTGAGGGATGGAGAGAAGAAAAAAAAGAGACATTCTCAGTTACATTTTAAAAAGAAACCTCATTGCTTATTTGAATTAAAAGTTATTTCAGGTGGACTCTGTATGTCCTTATTTAAAATCACTGTCTCGTTCAAAAGTCATTATTTTATTCATTATAAATGTCTCAAGTTATTACTTCATGTATTATCCATCTCATTCCAAAGTGATGTTTTTCTAGGAAGATAATTGTATATTGCAGTGTGAAACTGAGCTGTGTGGTAATACTAATTGTGTTGCTAACAAGACTAAACTGTTTACCTTTGATTGCTGTCATTGCTTCTGAAGGATTTAAGATGTGCAAATCTATAGCACTATGGTACATAGCATTCAAGATGTTGCTATTCATTGATGAATGAAGGTAAATTCTCTGATTCCGGCTGCAATATGCAATATTTTCTGATTGCTTTGCTTCTCTATGAGAGTAAACTGAATCTCTCTGATTTATGGGCAAAACACAAGGACATAATCCTGGGAGACTTTTGCATGACGTTTTCACAATTGTCTAATATTTTAAAGCCCAAATAACTGTTCAACAAATAAGATAAACAACGAAATAAATCAACAATTGAAAAAAAGCATCCAGATGCTAAACAGTTATGTGGCCTGTTATCAATTTCAGGTACAATATTACTATACTTACCAACCACAGAGGAGACGATCGATGTTCTGTTGTCTAGGAGAGGAAACAATAAGACAAACTTGTAGTAAGTTTAACGTTGCAGCGTTTAAAAAAAAGTAATTACAGAAGTAGATTACTGCAGTTAAATATTGCTGATATTACATGACAACCCAGATTAAAGTCAATCTCAGTCATACATAAAATAAATATGTATACAATAAATAAATAAAAACAGATAAAAAACACAGGCGTGCCTTAGACAAGCACCCACAGTATTTATGACATAAATTAGCTTGTTCTTACTCAAGTCAATGGTTAGCCTCAGCTAGCGCCTAGCAGGCTACTAGAGCTAATTATGCTAATGTTGGTTTATTTATTTGCATTTTAACATTTCTCAGCTTGATTTAAGTTAGTTGAGTTAATGAAAACAATGATTTGGTTTTAGAGGTTTCATAAATGCATTGAAATTGGTTGGTTGCTCATTTATAATTCTGACATGAATGGAAATGTGGAATATTCTGTACGAAATATACGACTAGTTACGAATGACTAACTAGTAATTTAGCTAAAATACAAAGTAATTTGGCCGTCATAATTAATTTTTTAATTGGCATTACTAACCCCAGCATTAACAGCGTTTCAAAAATGCATTGAAATTGGCTAACGTTGGCTAACCGTACAGAAATCTAACGGATTGAGTACCCTCATAACGGCATTAGCATTATGCTAACGGGATTAAGCTAACGCGAAAGCTTGACTGACACTAAGACAAAGACATGGTAACTGACAAATGTGTTAGCTAGCTAGCGACCTAATTAGCTGATTCATCCCTTTATAACCGTTACAACACACTTTTACAGAGAAAAGGGGGAAGTCCGTGTTAGCTGCTATGCTAGTGTTAGTCACGGGTTCGTGCTTATGCCATACAGGGGGGGTTTTCAACTTTTCTCTATATGTTTATGTTTGGCATGAGTTAAAGAAACATTATGATGCTGTTTTAAAATGCTAAAACCTAATCTAAACCATTCGAATAATGAGCCGTGAGCAGAGGTGCTCAATGCTAATTACCAGAGAAGACTTTAGCAAATTAGCGAGCTGTGATTAGCTGTGATGTTGCGTTCAGGGGCTGTCAGAAATGATGCTTTCAAAGATATAAACATGAACCTCGTTCCACGCGTACAGTGCCACGCCAAACATAAAACTTAAAGAGCATTCCTATCATCATCTAGATACTTCAATAAAAACTAAAAAGCTGAAAACTAACTAATGAGGCATTAACACTAAAGCTCCATTGAAACATACCGATACCTAAACGGACCAAAAGACGGAAAGGATTGCGTGAAGACTCTCTTAGAAAGGCGCAGGTAAATAAGGTCAATTATTGCCATATTTTTTATATTGAGAAGGCCTATGAGATGGTGTGGAGGGAGGGCCTTCTTATCAAGCTCCATCTGATGGGAGTTAAAGGTAAATGCTTCAATGGATAAAGAATTTTCTTTCTGGTAGGAAAATAGTGGTAAGAATTAATGACGCTTTTAGTAATGAGTATACAGTAGAAAATGGTACGCCGCAAGGCAGTATTATTAGTCCAGTGTTATTTTTGATCTGAATACAGAAATGGGAGAAGCTGAAAGGAATTTCAATAGATTTGCTGAATAAGCAGAAATGAAAACAGCTGAAATAAATGTGAAATATTGCAAAAAAAAACAGAAGTTGCAGGAGCTTGAATGAATTTAAAAAAGTACAGAAATAACAAAAGCTGAAATGAATAAAAAGAGGTTTAAAATAGTTTGTAGTAATATTAGTAGTAGTATTAGTTATAGTTGTAATTGTGGTATTAGTAGTACTAGCAGTAGAAGTCGGTTTAGTATCAATAGCAGTAGAAACAGCTGGAATACTGATACTATTAGCCATAGTAGTATTTGTAATAACATTAGTATTAGTAGTATTAATATTACATATTAATACTAGTAGAAATACTAGTAGTATGGTAGTAGAAGTATCAGTTGTAATCCTAGAAGTACTAGTAATATTCGTAGTGGTTGTAGTAGTATTTGAAAGAGCAATACGTATTTCAACGAAACCGCTTCATGGTTAAGGTACAGATAATCATTGAGACTTTTATTTTGTAATGATGGAATTGGGTGAGGGGGGGTTGGGAGACAGAATGTTTGTTATTCAAACTAAGAAGTTTTTAATTAATAGGCCTCATCACAAACATTACAGTAAAAATTCCCTCCATGGGGCTTTTATTTTGTAATTATTGGACTGGGTGGTGTAGGGGGGTGTAGATAGAGGGAGGGAGGGGGAGAGGGTGAGGAAGGGAGGGGAGGTGAGGAAGAGATAAAGGGAGAGAGAGAGAGGAGGAGAAATAGACAGACAGACAGACAGACAGACAGACAGACAGATAGATTGACTGAGTGATTAACAGTGAGATTTGAGCAGATTTGAAAGACAATGTCCTGATCCCATCCCCCACAGCTCCACCAACCTGCTGCAGTCCCCCTCCCCTCCCTCCCCCAGCCCATCAGGTGCTCACGCCTCTTCAACTATATCACCTTCCCCTCCCCCACCAGCAACGACCCTCTCTATTCTGGAGAGAGACGTTAACCGGCTCTTTAAAAGATTAAATCCCCGTAAGGCAGCCGGTCCGGACTCAGTCTCCCCTCACTCCCTGAAGCATTGTGCTGACCAGCTGTCTCCGGTGTTCACTGACATCTTCAACACCTCCCTGGAGACATGCCACGTACCAGCCTGCTTCAACGCCTCCACCATCATCCCTGTTCCCAAGAAGCCCAGGATCACAGGACTCAATGACTACAGGCCCGTCGCCCTGACCTCTGTAGTCATGAAGTCTTTTGAACGGCTAGTCCTGACCCACCTGAAGTCCCTCACCGACCCCCTCCTGGACCCCCTGCAGTTCGCCTACAGAGCCAACAGGTCTGTGGACGATGCTGTCAACATGGCCCTCCACTACATCCTCCAGCATCTGGACTCCCTAGAAACCTACGCCAGGATCCTGTTTGTGGACTTCAGCTCTACTTTCAACACCATCATCCCGTCTCTGCTGCAGGACAAACTCTCCCAGCTGCACGTGCCCGACTCCACCTGCAAGTGGATCACAGACTTCCTGTCTGACAGGAAGCAGCACGTGAAGCTGGGGAAACATGTCTCAGCCTCTCGGACCATCAGCACCGGTTCCCCCCAAGGCTGCGTTCTCTCCCCTCTGCTCTTCTCCCTGTACACCAACAGCTACCCCTCCAGTCACCAGTCCGTCAAGCTCCTGAAGTTTGCGGATGACACCACCTTCATTGGACTAATCTCTGGTGGGGACGAGTCCGCCTACAGGTGGGAGTCTGACCATCTGGTGTCGTGGTGCAGTCAGAACAACCTGGAGCTTAACGCTCTAAAGACAGTGGAGATGGTTGTGGATTTCCGGCGGAACAGAGCCCCACCCTCCCCCATCACCCTGTGTGACTCCCCCGTCACTATTGTGGATTCCTTCTGTTTCCTGGGCTCCATCATCACCCAGGACCTCAAGTGGGAGCTGAACATCAGCTCCGTCACCAAGAAGGCTCAGCAGAGGTCGTTCTTCCTGAGGCAGCTGAAGAAATTCAACCTGCCAAAGATGCTCCACTTCTACACGGACATCATCGAGTCCATCCTCTGCTCCTCCATCACCGTCTGGTACGCTGCAGCCACAGCCAAGAACAAGGGCAGGCTGCAGGGTGTCATCCGCTCTGCAGAGAGGGTGATCGGCTGCAATCTGCCGTCCCTGCGGGACTTGTTCGCTTCCAGGTCTCTGAAGCGAGCTAAAAAGATTGTGGCCAACCCCTCCCACCCCGGACAAAAACAGTTTGTGCCCCTTCCATCTGGCAGGAGGCTGAGGTCCATCAGGACTAAGACCTGCCGCCACACGAACAGTTTCTTCCCGTCGGCAGTCGGGCTCATCAACAGAGCCCGGTCCCCCACTGACTGACTATAACACTCCACCGGTCACTCCCCTTCACACTGCACATGCCACTTTAACTGCAATTCATCACTTTGTCGTCACTCGTCACTTTGTCACTTGTCTGTTACTTGTTCGTTAGTGCACTTTATGCTTAATATTTTTCTTTTTAACTTTTTAATATTTCAAATTTTTAACTTTATTCCCTTGTTTTATACTAACCCATAGCCTTAGCCTTATTCTACTAACCCATTGCATTCGCATTTCATTTTACTTTATTTTATTACTTGTGCACTGTTGTCTTGTCTCTCTACTGACGCGCACTAACTGCCAAGACAAATTCCTTGTATGTTTGGCATATTTTGGCAAATAAATGTTTCCTGATTCCTGATTCCTGATCCTGAAGAGGTCAGGGTGGAGGAGGGAGGGGGGGCGAGTGTC